CCGTTGTGACGAAAGCAGAGCTCAGTCTGAAAACTAAGCTCTCAATATTCAAGTCGATCTTTATCCCCATCCTTGTCTACGGTAATGAATCGTGGACCATCACTGAAACACTTCGAACCCGGGGACGAGCTGCTGAAATGGCTTTCTTAGACGAGTTGCTGGCCTTACGCGTCTCGGCATGGTCCGGAACACTGACATCCGGAAGAGCCTTCGATTACAGCCTCTGTTCTCCAGATTTAGAAGTCACAGCTGCGATGGCTTGGGCATGTGTTGCGAATGCCTCCAGAAAGGAAGGCTAAACAACTGTTCCGTGCAAATCCGACCGAGAAAAGGCCCAGGGGACGGCCAAGATTAACCTGGTGCAAACGTATAGGAGTCTGTTCCAGACTGCATTTGTCTTTTGCCGAAGCTCAAACTCTGTCGCAGGATCGAGAACGTTGGAAGCATTGTCTGACGCGTCTGTCTCCGCGACCCGAAAGGAGAAGCGGCGATGGAAGATGAAGATAATAAGATTGCTTTGACAAACCCTCGTAAGTGTCGGTATATCCTCTTGTAGATGTTATTCAGGCAAATACTTTGCCAGTCAACATCTTAGGGCAAGGACAGCTACAACTTTCTGCAGTGCGGAATAATGTACCACCGAAACTTATCTCAAAGCCTATTAATGTATTTTAAATGTGACTACCCGTAAAAGAACAGTGCTCAAAATTTTAACATCCAACAAGGTTTGCGAAGCGATAGATAGTAGGTTGCTACTGTTATCATGGTTTCGCAGTTTTATATTAAAGACCTTAAAGCGTTCTGACGAATGTCGTGCCATCTTGATTATGGGCATTTAATTTTCTAGCTTCGAATACTTGCAGCGCATGATATAAACGTTGATATTTCAGGAAGCTGCCTCCGAGAAAGCAGCCTATTCAGGTTCTATCACTGGAATAGATTGCATGGCGGCGGCGATTTCTGCTTACCTACCATCGTAAATAGACATTCTTGCAGAGACCAGGTATGCTGCAATGTTTCTTGGTACAGAATATCCTGATGGCATGCCCAACAACGCCGATGCCGGTCAAATATCGGTGGTGCCTGATAGATATCGAACGAGCCAAACACTTGCGGAGGTTTGTTTATGCTAATCTGGCTACCCGCAAATGACTACTCGTTTGCATATTACCCATATTTCGATATATCGCTGTGTTTACGACGAAAACCGGATAAGGCATGTGGATGTTAGTGATCTCTATGCACTTGTTGCAGATTTGATAAAGGCGAAACGTTGCATTTATTTATACGTCCACACATTCCAAATGAACGTTCTACAATATTGGTTGGCTGTGGCAAACTGTCACATTTTTCTCGTATGAGCCACTGATAATGTGCATTAGACGATTCGGCGTAAAACATTGTTATGCTTTACTTCAGCGAATCTTTTCGAACCGCGAAGTAAATTTTTTAGCGTTAACCACTTTGTGGAAAGGAGTAACCACTGTGATGTCAGTCTTCCTTCACTTTCTTCATACGACAGTTCTAGTGCCCGCATTTTCATGAAGTTAATGATGCGGTGCTGATCTCAGGTTCTGTGCCATCAGCCAGGAATGCGTTATTTTTAAAGCAAAGTTCACAGCCACTTACCAACGCAGCGTGTAGTCACCTGTTTCCTTTCCATGGAATGGGACTGATTTACGAACCTCAGAATGAAGAATGTCGCTCTAACGACTGAGCCATCTCGGTATGAAGCAACGTTGGTCAGTTCGTGAATAAACTAAAGATAGCCCTCGAGCGGAATCTATAAAGATAGCTGATACTTCCGGAATTCGAAGGAAACCTCTTAGGCACTCTACCAGTCGCATTTTCGTGATGAATATCTACTATGTTAAAAATATATGGTTTTTACACTAGCAGCCGTGTAGAGTGCTCAGAATGCAAGATACCTTAACAGAGACGGTGCCTCAATGTAAACTGTGCGGGTAGTAAAGGTGAAGTGCTTGACACAACAAACCCAAATTAACGTAAATCCTTTGTCGTAAATAGGTCTAAAACATTTGTTCGAATGCGACTAGCCCTTTTATGCTTACATTTACGCCGACAGAGGTTAGGAGTCACCGTAAAGGTGTAAGGAGTATAAACTATACCTGAAGTACGATGTATGTTCAGCTTTATTTCGGCGAATAGAAGCATAATATTAAAACTATAACTTGAAAATTTCGGCGGATATCCAACACTCCAGTGATTATAGCCGCTTCTTCATTCTAATGGCATAACGAACGTACGTATAAACCTTCAGTGAATATATTAAATATCATAGAAGGTTATCACAAGCACCAAAACATGAATACGGATGAATGAATACGGCAATTATGGAAGTGGTGTGAGCACCTTGACATACGATATCGGAAAATAGCCAGTCTGACCGGTGGGCAGAGAGCCCTCAAACCAATTTTCATCAATCTGAGAAATTAGATTGATAATCTGGCCTTCTTTGAGTGGCAATTCTCCTTCGCTTTCAGCTTCGAAATCAAACTGGGCTTGGCAACGTGGCAAGGGAGCAGGAGCAGATGGCGCTAAAAATTTACAGCGTTTATAGATATGAAGGTTACCATCCACAGGTATCAGCTTGACCAGATTAGCAAGCAGAAAACAGAATTAGAGCGACTGCTGCTCGAAATTTACGCTACTCCATCACGCTTGATGAGACGTAAAAAAAGTGGACGTTAGGCATGAACCAGTTGATTAACTCTACAGTCATTCATTTCTGATCTTTAATATTTGATTCAAATTTCTCCAAGGTGTCTGACCACTTCAAACTTGAACTAAAAATACTAGTGAGCAACTTATATAAAGAACTTAAATATATTTATATGTAACAGTGTTAGAAGACACCCCAAGTACCAATCCAAATTAAACGATTACATTCTACTGTACCCACTGATTCTCAAAGAAAGCAAGGAAAAATTTTTCGCCCGGACCAATTAAATTCTGAACAGATGACGACAAAGGGGCAAGGCAAACCGAAAGAAATTCAAATCACATTGTGTGAATTAAATCAGTCAAAGAAGATAACAAAACACCGCTAAAACCACTTGGATGGACAAGATGAGATAAATCAGCTAATTAATTACTCTGTCTTGTTCTTTCTAGAGTAAATCTATTTCTGCTCTAGTCTACAGAAGTATGCTTCATATTAGAGCATCAATGAATGCCACTCATGTTTAGTCGTAATATCTCAGGCAGTTGCACAACTGATCAACAGAGGAAACTGTTCATAACTTAGAACATGATCTCGTGATTTCTTGCGTGCGTCCAAAGCTTTATCTGAATGAAATATAGAGAAATTTCGAACTATAATTTTTTAAGGGATATGAAAGCAAGGCCTTCTAAAACATTTCATCTATTCAGAAAATATCTTTTACAGCAATAATTACATCGTACATGAAAATAGTTTATTACTTCTATCACATTCTGAAGTTAGTGGTAAATATAAGTGATGTTTCTGTTATACTGTTTCGCAACATCGTCTGTGTCTTGTGTGTTAAAACAATCCTTCTTGCTCAGAAGTACAGTAAGCCTAAGAAAATGGAATTCCTCTTGGTTTTTACTCCATTTCCTATGCATCATAGGTCTTGCCTGAAAAGTCATAGGTCTTGTCATCGTAAGTAGCTAGCTTGTCTCCACAGTCAACGTTGTTTAAACTGACTGTACATTTGGAGTTAAGATATCACGATTATTTTTAAATGACATCGCCCTCTACTTCCTCATCAAGATCCTCTTCATTTTTTACGAGACTCACATTCGCTATTATAACTGCTGTACTTTAGAAAACCATGTAATCTGCCAGAATATAAGTATATAAGTATAGCTAATAGGACGTTCGTTTCAGCCAGCGAACGCTCCTACACAAGTCAGGCGCAATTTTTGGCACAAAAAGCGACTAAAACACCGAAGGGTGCAAAGGGTTGAAGGCTTTGGCAAGAACGAAGATAAATCTACTTCTCAAAACGTTTAATGATCATCTGGTCACCTGTTCGTTACATTCTGAATAATTAACATTCTAAAATAACGCAGGAGATGCATATGAAATAGCACTGTCAAAATGATAACTGAAAAAACAACATCTACGATGAAATATTAAAGAACAGAAAAAATTTCTTAAAGTTTGATGCGACAGAACCATAACTCAAAGAATGATGAATCACCAATGTGACAAATCAACATTATTCACCGGTCTTTTGCAAAGGCGATAGAACTATACATAGAGGAACAATATATCGCCGTTGCACGGTACTAGTGAACACTTATCGACCTGCAATCTATAGGCATTTATCAGGACCGTCATGTCGCTGCGGCTACCAATACATTTTGAAATCAAGAAAGGACGAAAACAGTCAAATGTAAGATTAGCGAATTATTTTACAAACAAGCTTCATTATGGTAAGCATGTCTAGTTATCGTCTTCCGTCAAACAATGATGCTGGAAGAATTTTCTGGTTATTTTATGCGAGAAACTATGAACATCTAAACAGTGGAATAAAATTTATTTAACAAAATTCACGCACTCGGATGAATCTGAGATGGTAAGCTCCCAGACGCAACCTCCGACCAGGGATCTTGCTTATCTGTCCACGGTCGCCCATTTGTCTCTTCAGACTTAACAGAACTTATAGGCTGAGTGACTGGCACAGACTTCGTCGTCAGCGGGGGACTAGAAGATCTCGATGACTGAATATTAGGAGAATGTTCAATGAAAACAGGTCTCGGAATATGTTTGATATGCGGCCGATTGCTTGCTTCGTGAACTCTAAAAAATTGCACAACTTTAATGGCCAAAACAAGAAATATCGGTACCTTTCCTTCAGTTGTTCCGACAACTTCTCTAATACACCTGCAGTTTGATGATGAAAGTCCAACTGCGCCTCGACAAATGCACAAAGTTGAGAGACCTGTTCGACCTAAATATTTCAATGATTATCACGCTTCGAGAAGTTACACAGTCTTAACATACTGCGGCGCACCAACAAATTTTAATGTTTATGCGATGGCATTTAAACTGCACAAACTCCTGAAAAGCGTCAGCAGTAAGGGCGAGGTGGCTCAAGCAAACAGAATGATTAGTGATGCACCTGATACTGTAGGTGGATTTGGCTTTAGTACTTTAGGGGTTTGGCCTGCTTAACTGCCTTCACGACACCAGAAGCAAGGAAGCGCTGCAACTGTCATGAGCCGGTCTTAAAGGAGCGATGGATTATCGCATGCAAAATCGACATGAATCGTTTGCCATAATCTAACCTTGGTGTTCTCATCGCGAAGACTACACATCGACAAAAGTCGAGGATCTTATGGCAACACGAAGTATGGTTGTGATATTCAGTGGCTACCATAGCCAAAAGGGTCCATTATGAATGTTTTAAACGGTCAGATAATGAGAAAATGCCTAATCGGGACTAACGAAATATCTCATACTTTACTTATATAGTTATGGAAAAGAATTCAGGTTAAACCCAT